AGGTCACAGACGTTTATCACTTTCAGGAAACCCACGAGCAGCTGCGGTGCTTAGAAACCTAGAAACATAATCGAGGCGAACCGGGATTAGGATTTTAATCAGACGTTAAGGGACGCAACTCTGCACAGCGAATTGCAGCACCTTTGATTGCAAGGCCACCCGTGTCTTAAGATCCTATCATTGTCTGTTTGCATAGAAGCACAAGAGGAAATCAGGTAGACGGACGATGTAAATATTGTGGGTGGCAGGTGCTACCGCCAGAGCAGGACATGCTTATCCTTTTCGCGAACACCTGGTGTTGTCACCGATTTAGCTTTTTACGCTCAATGAAATCTGTTTTCGGTAGATAATCGAGACTGATTACTGTCTGTCGTTGGCGTTTTGAATTCAGACCCAGACATGTACCATGTAGGGAATCGAGTGAGTGAGTGAGTTGGGTTTAACGCCGCTTTTAAAGAGTATTCCAGTTATATCACGGCGCGTCAGCTTAATGTGGGAGGAAAGCCCGAAGTGATGCAGCTCTCAGACGTTTACCACTTCGGTGAAACCCACGAGCAGGGGTATGGTGCTGACAAACCTAGAAACATAATCGGGCCGAACCGGGATTCGAACCAACAATCATAGGGATCTGGCATGCCCAAGGGACGCAACTCTGCACAGCGAATCGCGACGACTGGGCCACCCGTGCCCCCCTGTAGGGAACCGAACTAACTCGAGTGAATTCTGTTACCAATGGGCTATACAAGGTCTATATAGTGAGGGTTTATGCTCACCTTTTCACGAACACCTGGCGTCATCACAGTTTCATACCGATTCATGAACACATTTTTATGAAAAAGTCGAAATCGTAAACTTGACACTGCTATTAGCAGAGCATTCTTACGATTGTGGGAAACATTTGGTACTATCATAGCGTAAACATGACATTTAAAGCAAGACACGTCACATTGACGTCCTCCGATTAATCAAATACCCACCCACACCAAACCAGTCAGTCGATGTCGGGAAGACATGTCCAAGGTCATTTACATTGACAGATAAGGCCATTGCTGTTTTTTTCAGTGATCAAATACATGTGTTTCCATTGCTATTTAGTTTTTTACGCCCAATAAAAAATAATGAAATGTCTTTCGGCGAATAATCAAGACTGGTTATTCTCTGGCCTTGAAATTGTATATACATTTCATGTAAACAGGACTTATTCAATGAACGAAAGTCATATGCTATTAAACTATATCCTAAATCGAGTTACCTCACGCATAAAAAGGAACATGTGCTTGTCGAATGAATTGGTGCAAACAGGCGCCAAAATATTCGCTTGACAGTATAATCTATTCACGAGCTGCAGCTCTTGCAAATATATTTTTAATATCGTGTGTTTGGCATACCAGCTTTCTACGTGTCATTGTGACTCATGTCATCAACGTCACACATGAAGCCCGCAGGGAGACACGTGATTCAGTGTTCTTCTTTATCATATGTAATGGGCAGGTTTCTCGGTAGGATAAAGCCAAAGGATAAAAACGATATCCGTTGGGAAATTTACCGATAAATATACTAATATGGGAGGTCAGGTAGGTACTACTTTCAGTGTTTACAAACAATCATGACATCGCCCTAGGCAATCGGCGATCGAGTCAGCATTAATCTTCGGGAATATGTAGAAACTTCAGGGATAATTGTTATCATTATCAAAACAATAGTAAAATGTACTCAAAATTAGTGTCTAACTGTGCATTTTTAACGTTTTGGTACCTTTGGAGGTATAAGCAAAACAATTTATCGAGGACACTAACCGAGCGAGATCAGTTGCCATATCTGTGCGTGTAGACATCGGTGGCTTGGGGCCTTTTCTTCCAATTAAAAACTAAATATGTCCGAATTGTTATCTTGTTTCATTTTGACGCTGTATGTACACTGTGTGTCACTGCACTTCGTATCGTTATGACAGGAAAGCAAGCCTAAACATCATAAAACAAGTTATTTAACATCCAAAAACACACTCGCCTGATTGCCTCTATGTATCTCAATGTAATAAATCCCGTTTGTGTTGACTGTTTGAATCACTTCCGTCATTTCAAACATTTCTTCTTCTTTTTTTAAAACCGCAGTGAGTTCATTTACATGACTGAGGTTCTTGACCTACTGGAATTTACATCCGATCTCTCATGAAATAAGGGAAGGTGAGGTGAGGTGAAATTGGATTTAACGTCGCGTCGAAGATTATTGCACTTATATAGCGACGTGTATGTACGTGTGTGTGTTTGTGTGGCTGCTTGTACTAGTCCGGACTGATGCCGATTTATAGTGCTAGCTCACTGAGATACCATGTCGCAGTTTAACATGAATACCCCACTCAGACACAGTTTACTGACTCCGAGCCGACCAGTCCCTGTTTTAGCCCCTTTAATGCCGAGCGCCAGACAGGGTAACAACAAGTACCATCTTTTAACGTCTTTTGGTATGACGCGTCCGGGGATCGAACCCCGGACCTTCCGCTCTCCAGGCGGACGCTCTACCACTAGACCACGGAGGCGGTCGTGAAATAAGGTCATGTTAATGCTACTAACAACAGAAGGGTGCAGGCGACCTGATGCCATGCCTCAATGTCTGGTGTTTTATAGCACGTGTGTATTTGTCACTCAGTTCACAGTACATGTATGCACGTCAGCGTATCCAAGTTCCGTATAATTAAAGTTGCTATTACCTTTGTGTTCGGGACCCGTGAAGATCCGGGTTAGAACAGGTCTTCAGCAACCCATGCTGGCCGCACGAGGCGACTATGCTTGTCATAAGAGGCTACTGTGATCGGATGGTCAGGCGCGCTGACTTGGTTGACGCTTGTCATCGTATCCGACTTGCGTAGATCGATGCTCATGATATCAATCACTGGATCGTCTGGTCCACTCGATTATATAGACCGCCCTCATATAGATGGAATAATGCTGAGTGCGGCGTTAAACAAAAAAACTAATAGAATAAAGTACAGGTGCACGTGTACCATATATAAGATCTCGCAAATGTTTAAATGCTTATTTTCAACACACTTTCATGGACGTATTATTCTGTCAACCTAACATATAAAACACATTGATTGATCATTTCTTGTGTGCTGATGAAACACGGAACATAGGTTCTGTGTCCATGTGATGTAATAATGGATATGATTCGATGATCGATGATATTTTTTATCTAAAAATATGACTTTATGAATCACTGGAAAGAAAATGGCTATACAAAGAAGTATTACATATACGTCACTGTACTGATTACGTCAAGTGAGCTGGCTGTAGTTGTGTTTTATTACTCATACTATATATTATAATTTAAATGACGTAATTATTATATATAATCTTCGTGAGATGTTATCATAAGATGCCTATAAACCTTTTGCAATGTTTAGTCGACAACCTTTGCATCTTGGCAAACGTTCAAACTAACAAGTTTAATTCTAACGGTCGAGGTGGTCAATACTTGTTGTACAGGGGCTGAACAGACGGGGGGAAAAGGAGGCAAACGCCGAAGTAGTATGGGCACCTGAAGCATGCTCTTGAAATGTTATATACAGTCAACTACTGTTATAACGAACTCAAAGGGACCACTAATTTTAATTCGTTATAACCGTAGTTCGTTATAAGCATATGTACAACATATATACACAAAATGGACGGGACCAAGAAACAGGTCGTCATGGTCGGAAGTTCGTTATAAGCGTGTTCGTTATAACCGTAGTTCGTTTTAAGCATATGTACAACATATATACACAAAAAGGACGGGACTAAGAAACAGTTCGTCTTGGCCGAAAGTTCGTTATAAGCGTGTTGGTTATAAACGTAGTTTACTGTATATGAACAAAGTCATGTTTTTGTTAAAACTGAACTGTACTATGGGCCATATGGCCTTACATACTGAATAAACTGTCTGTCTATATGAACAAATGATGTAATGTTCATTGTTACTTCCGCATCTATTGTAGCATAGACTTTAAATGTATTGATGAAACAATGCCATAAATAAATGTTGCAACTTAACCTTGTTTTATTAGAGTATAGCTCACTATGTTACGTGGAATATATCCCGCATCCTCACTGTTTTGGGATTATCCCAACATCCCGGTTCTTTTACTAGAGACAATACATCTACCGTATATACCCGTGTATAAGGCGAGTTTTTCGTAACTAAAATTAGGGGGCTCTCAAGGGGTATATCCAATAAGTTATCGAGTCTGACAATTATCTGTCCATCTACGTCGATGGCACGCGGAAGACAGATCACACACTTTCACCACCCGATCGTCCAACTCATACAACAAGTTTTGGGGACCTATCTGTATTCCCCGACATCCCCATTTGTGCAGTCCCCACCAGACCAGCCTGGTGTATATTTACTGTGCTGCCTCATTTAAACAAATTTAAACAAATTTTTAAACAAAGTCCGATTATGTTTTGTTTAACCGCTGATTTGGCTCATTCTCGGACACATTTGGCCAGATATGATATTTCTTTAACATTTAGAATTAGTCGTTTTTAAATTCAAAGTTGTTGATCAGGTTTACCCCCACTGTGCCCACCTTTGAATTTGGATCTTATAACAACAAAGGATTAAAGGATTAGGCCGTATCACCATCAGGGTTGCAGTGCCCACTATGCCACAGTGCACGTATAAACCCATGAATATACTAGTATATTGTAATAAGCATACACAAGAATGTAAATAATTATTTATTATTGGCAAAATAAAAACATATTGTACAACAATCCAAGCACAATTATGTGTACAAAATCATTCTACATGTACAATTATGTGTACAAAATCATGATACATATACATGTTGTTTCCTTAATTTCATGATATGCACAGAATCAGCAAACTGTTGAATGGTCTTGGTGCCATTCTGCAGGTGGTGCTTCTCTATCTGCAGTCTGTCCTCTATCAAGTTGTCTGTACTTTCGCTTTCTTGGACGAATTTTCCCACCAGACTCTAGCTGATGGATGGTCGACTAGACGTACGCTTGTTCGGCTTTGAAAAATGATACAATCTTGAAGATATTTGGATGAGGCGCACCAAATACCTTCGCAATCTTGTGATTTGTCGTTCTAGGTCCAACTGTGTTGTGGTGGTTCCACATATGGCGACCCTGGTTACCTTCTACCCAGTAGTCTGTGACGTAATCTGCAAACTTCAGGACTCGGTCATCCTCCAGAGGGGCGTCTTCAAGGGCACTCAGCCACACATCTTCAATATGCTGGACTGGAACAAGTGGAAGGGAAACAGCTCGCCTCCCGAAACGATAAACGTTCCGATCTCTTGAATATGTAGTTTGGAGACCCAACTTCTGCACATTTCGCCAAATGCACCGTCCAAAGTGGAAATAACAGCCCTTCAATTCGGAAGTTAGGAACACAGTTCTTAGGGCATTCTGGGTGGATGATTCAAAGTCTGTGAAGATTGTTTCAGGCATCAGTTGCAGGGCAGTCATCTCGGTCGTCTTCTCACTCAGTACAGTGAAGAAGCTTGTATATGTTTTTTGTTTTTTGTTGGTAATAGGGCGTACACAAGGGGGAACATCTTGTCTTCAACAAATTCATGTATGGCGTAGATCTGACTGAAGAGTTTGTGGACACATGTCAGATGTCCCATCGCAGAAGATGGTCTGGGCCTGAGAGAGATGTCGTAGGTTGGAGACAGTGGTGAAGATCAGCATGTTGTCGTCTTGGTGCAACAGGAAGTCTTCTTGGGATGATGTCTTCGTGTAGGTGTCGTGAAGCTGGATATCGGAACGCTGTTTGGGAAGGGGAGGTCTTGTTTTTGCCCTGGATCGGTACAGGGCAGAGCCACAGCTGTACAGTGTTGGAACATCAGGCACCAAATCGGATGTTGCTGCATCAGACCGTAGACCTGTAATGAAAGAATTAGCAATTTATAACTTTTGTTAAAATTCACAAAATGATAGAAGTAAGATATAAAATTGTTTAAAGCAACCATAGAAATGTATTTATGTATAAACATTTATATAATTTTTGTATGAGAAAATTAGACATGGCATAGATAAATTACCTGAAATTTCCTCTTGATAGATGGCGGGCACCGGTTTGGTCTCTTCTCTAACACGGATCTTCAGGTTGGCCATGAACTTGTCATGACTTTGCATCGTCAGCAACGTGGTTATGGATGTTCTTACAAGCTGTGATCACGCCGTTGTAGGTGTTGAGTGAGGCGTGACAGGTTTTCATACAGCATTGCCGGTAGACTCTATCTTCTTTCCTATTTTTAACCCTGAATTTGTATCCACCATATACTAAATTCTCCCCGCCTTGACTAAGGGAGCTGGGTATGGTGTATGTTTGTTTGTTAATGTGATTTGGTAGGTTATTGTGTTTTTAGATGCGTTTTATTAGTGCCGTTTTTATTAAGAATACGCCTAAGGCCTTGAAGTTTTCTAGTTTATTGTGTGGGTTTAGTATTGCTTCTAGAGTGAGAGCCTTGTTTAGATTGAGGGTGGTTTGTAATGCGGTTCGATGTGTTAGGTAGTGTGTGCAGTGGATGGGTGCGTGTTCTGGGGTTTCTGGTTGTTTGCAGTGTGGGCAGTTACCTGTAGTGTGTTTAAAAAAAAATGTAGGTGGTTATTTAGGTTGATGTGTCCTGTTTGGAGTTTAGTGATTACTCTGTCGATTTTTTTTGATGGATGGAGAATTTTTGGTTTGGTTAGTGGTTTGCTGAGCACTTTTTTGATTTGGCCAATTTGTGGGATTCATCACGTATATATATGTAACTGGTTGACACCAATAACTCATCACTAAATAGTTTCAATCAAATCAATTATGGGAGCAAATTTTCATATAATTATAAAGTAGTGAACAAATTTCACAAGAGTGAACACTTGTGAGAACATTTCACTTATCACCGCAGTGCCCACTGTACAGGTGAGAACATTTTAGTTGATACGGTCACCCTCCTAATCCCTAATCCCCCCATTGTCTTCCCCATGTTGTTTTAGGACCAAAAACCAAAAGTGGGCACAGTGGGGGGACACCGTTGATCATGCGCACACAATTCTTTTGAAATATTCATATCCATTAAGGATGGAGATCCGGTTAAAGTATTGATAATATAATATTTCTGCATAGCTGTACAAACTTCAGCATTAATACTGGGGAAGAATATATCCATATGCTTTGGACAGTTATAATCAGTCCGAGTAAAGCACAGGGGACATGGGTGGCCCAGTAGTCTAAGGCGCCGCGATTCGCTGTGCAGAGTTGCGTCCCTTGGGCACGCCAGAAACGCTATGATTGTGGGTTCGAACCTCGGTTCACCCCGAATATGTTTCTAGGTTTGTCAGCACCATATCCGTACTCATGGGTTTCACCGAAGTGACAAACGTTTGAGACCTGCATCACTTCGGGCTTTCCTCCCACATTAAGCTGACAGGTCGTGATATGACTGGAATACTGTTAAAAGCGGCGTGCCCCCAGTTATAAAGGGAACTGTGATATTTTCGTGAATACCTAGTGTCATCACCATTTGATAGTGATTCATAAACACATGCTCATATTCAGTCGGAATCATAATCTGGAGATTTGCTTTGGTTATGGGAGGGGTTTTGTGTCTGATATTTATCAGAGCGTAAACAGGTCGCTTAAATCAAGACACGTCACACCGATGTCCCCTGATTAATCAAATCCCTACGCACACCAGACCAGTCACCTTCTGTCGTGAACAACAGGTCCGTGGTAATTTACATTGACAGATACGTTGTCAGGGAAGTAGCACTATTGTTTGAGCCGGAAATAATCATGCACGTCCCCGTGACGTTTGATGAATCCGTCTCGGTTTGAACGTCATCGGTAATAATGTTTACAGACTAAATGTTTCCGTGGATTGACGTTGTGGTGTATTTATTGCGGTATGTTTGGTCTAGCGTTTCAACGGTACAACTAGGGCAAGAGAATAAGCGATGTTGCGTGACGAGGTGATTAATGTCGTCACCCTATTTAAGAGAGAATACCTTTGTTTAGTGTTCATGGTCTTAGTGTGAGACTCAGACGTCATAATATATGTGCCCCGTGTACTTTTATTTGTTTGTTTGTTATTTAACGTTGCACTCAGCAATATCCCAGCTATATGACGGCGGTCTGTAAATAATCGAATCTGGACCACTCCAGTGAATGACTTCATAAGCATTGATCCACACAATTGGTATACGATGACATGCATCAACCAAGTCAGCGAGCCTGACCACCCGATCCCGTTAGTCACCTCTTACGACCAGCATTGTCGTCTTTTACGGCAAGCATGGGTTGGTGAAGACCTATTCTAACCTGGATCTTTTCAATATTGAAAAAGTTAGTAATCGGTTCGCATGCTGAACTTGTTACCATGTGAATATATGTGAGTACGTACAGACTTGCACAACGAGAGACTAGTATTTAAACTGAACTCGACCTGAAGTTTTCGTTATTTATCGATGTGATTTTTATTATATACTACTCACATTTTAAAAGAGAAGGTTTATATCCTTCAATGGCACAACTGATTATCCCCTATCAAAAGTTGAGTAGTATTTTTCTGGTTTCATTTTCACAACATACTTTGGATTAATAAACTGTTCATTATGATGTAGATATTCGTAGAGGACATTCAAACATTAGCATCAAGTTCTCAGTACATTAAACTACGGTTATAACGAACACGCTTATAACGAACTGACGGATATACCGAACTAACTTTTTAGTCCCGACTATTTGCTGTAGTTATGCTGTATATATCCTTATAACGAACTACGGTTATAACGAATTAAAAATAGTAGTCCCTTTGAGTTCGTTATAACCGTAGTTTACTGTATATAACATGCATATATTTAATTCATTCGCAAGAAGCATGTGTTCGATATCTGTACAATATTTCAGGTTGGCTTATTCTTTATAATAATTGAAATATGTTTGAAATATGTTCTTCTCAAGTTCACGCAACTTTATTAGTATAAAATAAAGTATATAAATACTTATACCGAGTCATATATCCTCGCAGGAACCTGGGACCAGATAATAAAACATTCACACGTACAAATACTAAAAGAAACTTGACCTTTGTTCAGAACCGGACCAAGGTCACCATGCCTGTCAAGGTAAGACAAAACATTTCGGTTAAATACATTTTTTGTAACCGTCACACGTCAGCGTGTACAGATTTATACGTTGTAAAGGAGCATATATATTCAGACATAGTCAGTACCTGTCCTTCTGAAATCCTCTTGATCGACAAGATTCCTTGCCTGTGGTGGTGTCGTTAATGATATATAAAGTACCAACAGAAACCGGTAGTGTTAAGTTTGTCATGGCTACAGGTACATGACTACATAGTGAACGAACACAGGAAAACACCGTTATTCAGGATGATACCGTTTGCAGTGAAATCGTCCGGAAAATCACCAAAACAAAGAAAATATTTACGGATGAACGAATCCTTTATCTCCCCTGTATGTATTGAGTGAGTGAGTGAGTGAGTATGGTTTTACGCCGCTTTTAGCAATATTCCAGCAATATCACGGCGGGGGACACCAGAAATGGGCTTCACAAATTGTACCAATGTCGGGAATCGAACCCGGGTCTTCGGCGTGACGAGCTAACGCTTTAACCACTAGGCTACCCGACCGCCCCCCTGTATGTATTGAGACGTGGGTACTGCAACTATCAGCGGGATTAATGGCGGCTGGACTCGCATCTCTTCATATCCTCAGTGCCAATTGCCGCAATATTGCTGATGCGGCGTCACTCACTCACTCACCCACTCACCCACCCACTCACTCACTCACTCACTCACCCATTCACTCACTCACTCACTCACTCACTCACTCACTCACTCACTCACTCACTCACTCACTCACTCACTCACTCACTCACTCACTCACTCACTCACTCACTCACTCACTCACAGTCGACTTGTAGACACCACTCGCCCCTTTCCGTAACCTGCAAGAAGACGCTATTCGGCTTGTCCCGGAATAACACGATTTGGTCACGAATGGGCCGATAGCGTCTCATCGGCATCCTATGTCTATGGCCGTCCCTCGTGTTTTCAGCGACTGGCTTGTCGGGCCCACTCAACCACTACCAGACCACAGTGTTATATATCACCCACTCACTCACCGCACACGTACGAGGGGTCGCTGAAACGTACTAACTATGAGGGACGACGTTGATGGAGTCCTCACCCTTCAACACGTGTCCACATCATTTCCACTTGGAAACACAATCTATCAGTTGACATAACATATCCTCAGGATAATTACGTACTCGAAAGACTTAAAGTCTTACTTACGTATTCACGTCTCCATCCGTAACGTGTGTGCACAATACGTATTTGTATATGAATTTAGATTCTGGTCAGTGGACATATCAACACACTGCACTACAGGACCCTATCTATCACTACCGCTATGCATACAATCTGACGTCAGTCGAACCATAAACACCTACCACCTCCTATGACATTGTATTGTTAGATGTATCATCAACGAATTCGCCTCTGGCAGTCTTAATGTCAGCCGAAGGAAGACTTCTTGTTACATAGACAAGATGTCGTTGTACGTACTTAATCAATCATAAGTAAGAGAGATGTGTCACTCACGATGATAAAATATCTCTCAGCTGACGTTTGGCTATAAAAGGGATATCAATGCACAGGTTGTCTTCATTTTAAGTTTGGAATTTGAAGACAATGCGGGATAGTTGGACAATATGCGTGCTTGTGCTTGTGGTGTTCTGTGACATATCAGATTCTCAGTTTGTGAGGCCTACGAGTAAAAGCATATTCTACAATGCAGACAGAATTCGGACAAGTGAGTACAGCTTTAAGTTGTATTTGACAGTTGTAGGTGGGGTGAAATGGGGTTTAACGACGCGTCCAAGATTATTGCACTCTTATAGCGACGTGCATGTACGTGTGTGTGTGTGGCTGCTTGTACTAGTCCGGACTTATGCCAATTTATAGTGCTAGCTCACTGAGATACCATGCCGCAGTTAACATGCGAGCAGGAGTATTGTTTTGGCTTTAAGCATATAACACAGTATCAGTATGTGTTCGATGTTATAACAATATATTGGGACATGTGCGACCCAGTCGTCTAAGGCGCCGCGATTCGCTGTGCAGAGTTGCGTCCCTTGGGTCCACCAGAAACCTGTGATTGCGGGTTCGAATCCCGGTTCGCCCTGATTATGTTTCTAGGTTTGTCAGCACCATACCCGTGCTCGTGGGTTTCACCGAAGTAGTAACTGTCTGAGACCTGCATCACTTCGGGCTTTCCTCCCACATTAAGCTGACAGGTCGTGATATAAATGGAATACTGTTAAAAGCGACGTTATACCAACTCACTGACTACAATTATGAATGAAAGCGACGAAAACCATTTCCCTAATCAACACACATTTAACTGTTTGCAAGTTTAAGCATGCCTGCTTGTCTGTTTAAGTGAGTGAGTGAGTATGGATTTACGCCAGAAATGGGCTTCACACATTGTACCAATGTCGGGAATCGAACCCGGGTCTTCGGCGTGACGAGCGAACGCATTAACCACTAGGCTACCCGACCGCCCCCGAGAATGAGTTTGTTTTCTTCGCTTAGGTTTAGGTATATAACGTAGTGTCAGCTTGTAGGGGAAAGCCCCAAATGATGCTGGTTTACGTTTGCTAACTTTCGTTAAACCCAAGAACACACGTAAGGTATGGTGCTGATACAACCTAGAAATTATCGGGGCGAACCGGGATGCCAACCCACGATCATAGGTTTCTGGTACGCCTAAGGGACGCAACTCTGCACACCTAACCTCGGCACATTAGACGACTAGGTAACACCTGCGCCCTTACGATATTTGAAATATAATTCTCATATACTTGCCAAACCACGATTAATAAAGCCATCGTATATTACTGTTTCTCGCAATTCCCACAAAATGTACAATTATGTATAAAAAATCATATTGTCCGGTAGATAATGACTTGTGTTTTCATACTGTCAGATAAAAATATAACTATTCCAAAGGAATATCAATGAAAAACATGCACAATAGTTCTTATAATATATTAAAATGTACAGTATGTTTTTGTTTAGCTACTTGTTCTTAATACCAAAGTAATTATTACATTTCTGGTGCTAGGTATGTGAATTTAGCTTACCTGTTAATAAGATCTTTGTTACAATTTACAAACAGTAATATTCAAGCAAGGCTGAATAATGTATATGGTACAGAATATATATAGAAGATGGAGGATAAACAGTAACAACAATTGCATACATGACATTGTTTGACAACGGTATGAGGATCAATACCAAAACGTCGCCTTTACAGTACATTAAGAAAATGTTATCCTGATTCCATAAATTGTGTCTACTTTGTCATCCGCCATCTGGGGCGGTCGGGTAGCCTAGTGGTTCAAGCGTTCGCTCGTCACGCCGAAGACCCGGGTTCGAATCCCAACATGGGTACAATGTGTGAAGCCCATTTCTGGCTCTGTAACTGTAAGTCATATGTCACTGTAATTTGTATAAGGGCCCAGTGGCCTCTTTAGGGAATGAACTCTATCATCACAGTAACGCAGGAGTTGATGGGGGAGTTGGATCGGGTATATTACAGTCCCAGTACATCAGCTTCACGGCGTGGAAACACAACTCTACGACGTGCAAACGCTTTAACCACTAGGCTACCCCACCGCCCCTTTAAACAGACAAGGGGCGGTCGGGTAGCCTAGTGGTTCAAGCGTTCGCTCGTCACGCCGAAGACCCGGGTTCGAATCCCAACATGGGTACAATTTGTGAAGCCCATTTCTGGTGTTCCCCGCCGTGATATTGCTGGAATATTGCTAAAAGCGGCGAAAAACCAAACTCCCTCACTCATCCGCAATCTTACTTAGTAATGTTTATCAAACAATGCTGGTGTTAATGTGTGTTTAACATCTCCCCTGAAGCCTCTGGATTTATGAAGCTGAAATTGTATGCCCATGATTCCAGTATCCCTAGATATGGACTATGATTAAGACAAGGGTTATGTCGCTTTGATTTAGTCGTTTAACCAGTGAGGTAATCCCTTTCTATGCGTAACTGGACCCGTGAAGTTCCGGGGTAGAATAGGTCTTCAGCAACCCATGCTTGCCGTAACAGGCGACTATGCTTGTCGTAAGAGGCGACTAACGGGATCGGGTGGTCAGGCTCGCTGACTTGGTTTATGAATGTCATCGTATCCAAGTTACGTGGATCGATGCTCATCATGTCAATCACTAGATGGACTCGCCTTGACTCGATTATTTACAGACCGCCGTCATATAGCTGGAATATTGCTGGGTGCGTTAAACAACAATCAAACAAAACAAAATGTGTAACGGATAGTGTCATTTTGTAGGATCAGCGACATCATCCACGTGACGTCATGTTGGTGCTAATGTTACCATTGATGTATATCTAATACCTTTATCGCCATGCATCCACGTGACGTCATGTTGGTCCTAATGTTACCATTGATGTATATCTAATACCCTTATCTTCAGGCATCCACGTGACGTAATGTTGGTGCTAATGTTACCATTGATGTATATCCCATACCCTTATCTTCAGGCATCCATGTGATGTCATGTTGGTGCTAATGTTACCATTGATGTATATCTAATACCTTTATCTTCAGGCATCCATGTGATGTCATGTTGGTGCTAATGTTACCATTGATGTATATCCCATACCTTTATCTTCAGGCATCCATGTGATGTCATGTTGGTGCTAATGTTACCATTGATGTATATCTAATACCCTTATCTTCAGGCATCCACGTGACGTCATGTTGGTCCTAATGTTACCATTGATGTATATCTAATACCTTTATCTTCAGGCATCCACGTGACGTCATGTTGGTCCTAATGTTACCATTGATGTATATCCAATACCTTTATCTTCAGGCATCCATGTGACGTCATGTTGGTCCTAATGTTACCATTGATGTATATCCAATACCTTTATCTTCAGGCATCCATGTGACGTCATGTTGGTCCTAATGTTACCATTGATGTATATCCAATACCTTTATCTTCAGGCATCCATGTGACGTCATGTTGGTCCTAATGTTACCATTGATGTATATCCAATACCTTTATCTTCAGGCATCCATGTGACGTCATGTTGGTCCTAATGTTACCATTGATGTATATCCAATACCTTTATCTTCAGGCATCCATTTGATGTCATGTTGGTCCTAATGTTACCATTGATGTATATCCAATACCATTATCTCCAGGCAACACACGTGACTATGTGAACCTGCACATGCTGGAGGTAGCCGAAGTGACCGAGGCCAGTCATGGCCAGAACCTGCGGTCAAGCGTGGACAGTGTGAGGTCGAGCATGAAGGCTATGACTGCGAGGTAAATGTGAGACTTCTGTTCCTGAGCCAGCCAGGTCGACTGTTGAATGAGTGAGTGAGTGAGTGAGTGAGTGAGTAGGCGGGTTGGTGAGGATATGAAGAGATGTGAGTCCAGCCGCCATTATTTCCGACTCTGCTGATGGTTGCAGTACCCATGTCTAAATATATACATACAGGGGAGATTAAGGATTCGTTTATCCGTAAATATTTTCTTTGATTTGATGATTTTTCGGACGATTTTACTGCAAACGCAAACGCGTGATGCGCGAACACTTTAATCACATGGCTGAAGATAAAAGATGAAAGAGATTATTTTATTATAAATGGCCAAAATTCTGAAGTTTACAAAATAAGTTTACAAAATTACATTTTTGTATTTGCATTTGGAATATCCCCGTGGGAATCTGGGTTAGAATAGATCCCCAGCAACGCATGCTGGTCCTGGGATGCAACCAACTCGATCGTGTGGTCAGGCTCAGCAACTTGTTTCACAGCGTGTCTTCGTACCCGAACGGTGCGGATCGTTGTCCACAATTCCAATCACTGTATTGTCTGGTCCACACTCGATTATTTACAGACCGCCGTCATATAGCAGAATATTGCTGAGTGCGGTGTTAAACAACAAACAAATAAAAAAACAAAACAAAGCATTTACATGCTGTAGTGTGGGGATTGACAAATAGAATTCAACGTCTTATTAGTTTATTTATACACGCATGACAACCTTCCCTCTATGACATCATGATGATGGCTACCTTCCCTCTATGACGTCATGATGATGGCTGCCTTCCATCTATGACGTCTTGATGATGGGATAATGTCTTTGTTTAGTCTTGTTTTGCCCACTGACAAAATATGACATTCACCGTTCTACCTTGATCCTAATTTACCACCTCGCTGAAAAATAAGTTTTTTGTTTGATTAAAAAAAAGTTTTTATACCCTCACATTAACACACCCGGTTAGCTATGCTGGCCGTAACAGACGACGTCTTGGATCCGATCGTCTGGTTTGGTGACCTAGTTGATGGCATCACCAGCACTGGATTGTCTGGTCCAGATTCGATAATGTACGGGCAGCAGTCATACAGAGTGCCCCATTACACAACAAACAGACAACCAAATTATTTACCGTCATTGCATAGACAACATTTTAGCTGTATGAGGTGAGGTGTAATTGGGTTTAACGTCGCGTCCAAGATTATTGCACTTATATAGCGACGTGTGTGTGTGTTTATGTGGCTGCTTGTACTAGTCCGGACTGATGCCGATTTATAGTGCTAGCTCACTGAGATACCATGCCGCAGTTTAACATGAATACCCCACTCAGACACAGTATACTGACTCCGAGCCGACCAGTCCTTGTTTTAGCCCCTTAATGCCGAGCGCCAGACAGGGTAACAACAAGTACCATCTTTTAACGTCTTTTTGTATGACGCGGCCCGGGATCGAACCCTGGACCTTCCGCTCTCCGGGCGGACGCTCTACCACTAGACCACGGAGGCGGTCTTTAGCTGTATGATCCGCCAAAGGCAGGTTGTTGTTTCTCTTAACAATACGGACGGCCTTGATCGTGAAATGTTTTACCGGTAGGACAGGACACGTTAACCCTTTTCACGAACACCTGGTGTCATCACTGATTTTCAGTTATCCATTCAGTAGTTTTCACACTCAGCTATTTGGCTTTGACGCCCAATGGAATCTGTTTTGATGGAGGCTGGTTATTCTCTGGCGTTGACGCCCAATGGAATCTGTTTTGGTGGACAATTGAGGCTGGTTATTCTCTGGCGTTGACGCCCAATGGAATCTGTTTTGGTGGACAATTGAGGCTGGTTATTCTCTGGCTTTGACGCCCAATGGAATCTGTTTTGGTGGATAATTGAGGCTGGTTATTCTCTGGCGTTGACGCCCATTGGAATCTGTTTTGGTGGACAATTGAGGCTGGTTATTCTCTGGCGTTGACGCCCAATGGAATCTGTTTTGGTGGACAATTGAGGCTGGTTATTCTCTGGCTTTGACGCCCAATGGAATCTGTTTTGGTTGATAATTGAGGCTGGTTATTCTCTGGCTTTGACGCCCATTGGAATCTGTTTTGGTGGACAATTGAGTCTGGTTATTCTCTGGCTTTGACGCCCAATGGAATCTGTTTTGGTGGATAATTGAGGCTGGTTATTCTCTGGCTTTGACGCCCAATGGAATCTGTTTTGGTGGACAATTGAGGCTGGTTATTCTCTGGCGTTGACGCCGATTGGAATCTGTTTTGGTGGAGGCTGGTTATTCTCTGGCGTTGACGCCCAATGGAATCTGTTTTGGTCGATAATTGAGGCTGGTTATTCTCTGGCGTTGACGCCCATTGGAATCTGTTTTGATGGAGGCTGGTAATTCTCTGGCGTTGACGCCCAATGGAATCTGTTTTGGTGGACAATTGAGGCTGGTTATTCTCTGGCTTTGACGCCCAATGGAATCTGTTTTGGTGGACAATTGAGGCTGGTTATTCTCTGGCGTTGACGCCCAATGGAATCTGTTTTGGTGGATAATTGAGGCTGGTTATTCTCTGGCGTTGACGCTCAATGGAATCTGTTTTGGTGGACAATTGAGGCTGGTTATTCTCTGGCTTTGACGCCCATTGGAATCTGTTTTGGTGGACAATTGAGGCTGGTTATTCTCTGGCGTTGACGCCCAATGGAATCTGTTTTGGTGGACAATTGAGGCTGGTTATTCTCTGGCGTTGACGCCCATTGGAATCTGTTTTGATGGAGGCTGGTAATTCTCTGGCGTTGACGCTCAATGGAATCTGTTTTGGTGGATAATTGAGGCTGGTTATTCTCTGGCTTTGACGCCCAATGGAATCTGTTTTGGTGGACAATTGAGGCTGGTTATTCTCTGGCGTTGACGCCCAATGGAATCTGTTTTGGTGGATAATTGAGGCTGGTTATTCTCTGGCGTTGACGCTCAATGGAATCTGTTTTGGTGGACAATTGAGGCTGGTTATTCTCTGGCTTTGACGCCCAATGGAATCTGTTTTGCTGGACAATTGAGGCTGGTTATTCTCTGGCGTTGACACCCAATGGAATCTGTTTTGGTGGAGGCTGGTTATTCTCTGGCGTTGACGCCCAATGGAATCTGTTTTGGTGGATAATTGAGGCTGGTTATTCTCTGGCGTTGACGCCCATTGGAATCTGTTTTGATGGAGGCTGGTAATTCTCTGGCGTTGACGCTCAATGGAATCTGTTTTGGTGGACAATTGAGGCTGGTTATTCTCTGGCTTTGACGCCCAATGGAATCTGTTTTGGTGGACAATTGAGGCTGGTTATTCTTGGCGTTGACGCCCAATGGAATCTGTTTTGGTCGAGGCTGGTAATTCTCTGGCGTTGACGCTCAATGGAATCTGTTTTGGTGGACAATTGAGGCTGGTTATTCTCTGGCTTTGACGCCCAATGGAATCTGTTTTGGTGGACAATTGAGGCTGGTTATTCTCTGGCGTTGACGCCCAATGGAATCTGTTTTGGTGGAGGCTGGTTATTCTCTGGCGTTGACGTTGTATATTTACGGTTTTACCATCTGTTTCAGGAAATGCTCGTCCAGAGATATATACCGCACCTTAGATGCGGAATGCAACAACCTCCTTCACCCGAGTTGGGGAACACCGATGAGGAAGCTGCTCCGAGTTCTCACTCCTCAGTACGACGACGGTAATATGTGTTTGATTCACCGAGGGGAGTTCCAAATCGAAAGCGAAGGTTAACCCTGAAATCTGTACGTACAGAATTAAATTGCGAAATCAGTATATGAACACACAGGATCAATGAATAATTAACAGATTTTTTTAAACACTTACTTTTAGGTCTACAATTACAAAAGGATTGATCAAATTAGTGATAGCAGCAGTAAGTTACAGGCCTTGTCATAAATGTCCAGAATGTGACTCTGTCGAATGTTTTGGAAGAGGCAGATGCTCCGTTTCTTTAATCCGGAATAGTGTTTGAAACTGTCAGGAAGTCGGCGCTTTCATATTGGTCTCCTGTCCGATCTGGGCAAGTAGTTAAGTCAGGTCTTCAAACGCCTCGAACCGGGCTTTCCTCCGGCATTAAGCTGACACGCCGTGAAATATATGGAATAAATCAGATGCCAATGACCTCCTGACGAATTTCTCTTTATTGTAGGTCGTGGCAGACCTCGCCATTACCGGGGTATGGCGTCAGCCCTCCCTAGTACCCGCGAGGTGAGCGGCAGCTGCCACCCGTCAGACAGCAGCACGACCAGGGACCTTGAGTTCAGCAACATGGCCATGCAGTGGGGACAGTTCCTGGACCATGACATCACCGGTACCCCAGAGGCCAACAGTGAGTACCCCGAGGATAAGGAGCTAGTACAATCAAGGCCATCAGTGACTGTCACACGGATTAGTAGCCAGTACAATCAAGATCAATAGTGAACACCCCTACGATTAGTAGCTGGTACAATCAAGGTCAATGGTGAACACCCCTACGAAGACCAATAATACGTACCCCTCGGATTAATAGCCAGTACAATCAAGACCAATAGTGAGTACCCCTCGGATAAGTAGCTGGTACAAACAAGAATAATAGTGAGTACCCTTCGGATTAGTAGCCAGTACAATCAAGACCAACAGTGAGTACCCCTCGGATTAAGCCAGTACAATCAAGACCAATAGTGAGTACTCCTCGGATAAGTAGCTGGTACAATCAAGACCAATAGTGAGTACCCCTCGGATAAGTAGCCATTACAATCAAGACTAATAGTGAGTACCCTTCGGATAAGTAGCCAGTACAATCAAGACCAATAGTGAGTACCCTCGGATAAGTAGCTGGTACAATCAAGACTAATAGTGAGTGTCCTTCGGATTAGTAGCAAGTACAATCGAGACCAATAGTGAGTACCCCTCGGATTAGTAGCTGGTACAATCAAGACCAATAGTGAGTACCCTTCGGATTAGTAGCCAGTACAATCAAGACCAACAAATCTAGGACTAGAAGCTAGTAAAATCAAGACCAATAGTGAGTACCCATAGGACTAGAAGCTAGTACAATCAAGACCAATAGTGAGTACCCCTAGGACTAGAAGCTAGTATAATCAAGGCCAATAGTGAGTACCCCTAGGACTAGAAGCTAGTATAATCAAGACCAATAGTGAGTACCCCTAAGACTAGAAGCTTGTATAATCAAGACCTATAGTGAGTACCCCTAGGACTAGAAGCTAGTAAAATCAAGACCAATAGTGAGTACCCCTAAGACTAGAAGCTAGTATAATCAAGACCTATAATGAGTACCCCTAGGACAAGAAGCTAGTAAACTCAAGACCAATAGTGAGTACCCCTAGGACTAGAAGCTAGTAAAATCAAGACCAATAGTGAGTACCCCTAAGACTAGAAGCTAGTATTATCAAGACCAATAGTGAGTACCCCTAGGACTAGAAGCTAATAAAATCAAGACAAATAGTGAGTACCCATAGGACTAGAAGCTAATAAAATCAAGACCAACAGTGAGTACCCCTAGGACTAGAAGCTAGTAAAATCAAGACCAATAGTGAGTACCCCTAGGACTAGAAGCTAGTAAAATCAAGGAAAATAGTGAGTACCCCTAGGACTAGAAGCTAGTAAAATCAAGGCAAATGGTGAGTACCCCTAGGACTAGAAGCTAGTAAAATCAAGGCCAATAGTGAGTACCCGTAGGACTAGAATCTAGTACAATCAAGACCAATAGTGAGTACCCCTAGGACTAGAAGGTAGTAAAATCAAGGCAAATAGCTTTGAACATGACGCTGTTTTATTTCTTTATGTATTTACTTTATTATTTACTCGAGTTTCGAAAAATAACCTACTTGGTAGGATGTCCTTTCGTTCATCCAAATATCTGCAGCGAAGGCAGAATAGCCAATTTGGCACAAGTAACGAAATAGTTTTGTCCGCTGTTTTCTTGTATAAAAAGTTTGGTAATTACATGAACGTGGGCATAAAGGTTTATCTCGCTTCGGATAACTGGTATAAACATTCGGACAAATCTGTTTCAGAAACGAAAGAGTGCTGCACTGACCATTCGGCCAATGGAACACACCCGGACTACTACACTGGGTAAGTAGTCAAAGTGAACAGACGTGCATTCTGCGGCATTTCAAGAGACAGGTTCCTGAAACATCGTATCCGATATCCACTAGTGTAATGTTTATATACTGAGCCAAAAATGAAATGCAAATAAAATACGGTTATAGCGAACACGCTTACAACGAACTGACGGATATAACGAACTTTCTTCTTTGGTCCCGACTATTTGCTGTTATGCTGTATATATGCTTATAACGAACTACGGTTATAACGAACTAGAATTAGTAGTCCCTTTGAGTTCGTTATAACCGTACTTTACTGTACAGTTAACTACGGTAATAACGAACTCAAAGGGACCACTAATTTTAGTTCGTTATAATCGTAGTTCTTTATAGGCATGTATACAGATAAAAAAGATCAGTTCGTCATATCCGTCAGTTCATTATAAGCGTGTTCGTTATAAACGTAGTTTACTGTGCCATTATTCCTGTAATTAAGTTTATGTTTAACCGCTTGTACTTTACGTAGGACATCCTTCAGACTGAACGTCCAGATTCATGTGTTCAGTTTGGAGAATATTCACACCAGTTGCTAAGTCAGTAGCTCGTGTGGACCCGTGAAGATCAGGGGTAGAATAGGTCTTCACCAACCAATGCTTGCCGTAAGAGGCGACTATGTCTGTCGCAAGAGGCGACTAACGGGATCGGGTGGTCAGGCTCGCTGACTTGGTTGATGCATGTCATCGTATCCCAGTTGCATGGATCGATGCTCATGTTGTCAATCACTGGATTGTCTGGTCCAGACTCGATTATTTACATACCGCCGTCATACAGCTTGAATATTGCTGAGTTGCGGCGTTAAACAGCAAACAAACAAACAAACAAACAGTAGCTCGTGTGACCACCATCTGACTGAACAACTGATCCCCCGTTCATTGGGTGAACAAGGTGTTGGATGTAGGCCATGGTGGCATGAAGATGTGCGACTGGCCTTGGTCGGGACGCACTTGGTTGAGGTGCTTTGGAGACCTTAAATATGTTGGAGTGTTAATGCGAACCTGATGTTTTGATGTCGTATGCGTGCTGTGACACAAGTTATATGGCGGCCGGTGTCATCTTGCTGGAAGCACTGTGTTATATCGAGCATATTATGGCACAATGTTGGGTCAATGTACTGGCATGATATGACGTCATGACCTACGTAAACCAGAATTCTGGACACAAACGGGGCCAACAGGCTGGTTTAGACACAATTCACCCAACACAATTTTATATGCTTGCCTCAGCATATCCTCTATCCTAACTTTGTTTAGCTTCTTGGGTAATGCAGTATCTACTCTCCTTGAATCAAGATCCAATTTTATCTCGAATAATATTCACAGTTTCTTATATCATAAAATACAAAAATTGTTGAGTACCAGAAATGTAGAAAAAGGAAGAGTGAGTGAGTGAGTTTGGTTTTACGCCGCTTTTAGCAATATTCCAGCAATATCACGGCGGGTGACACCAGAAATAGGCTTCACACATTGTACCCATGTCGGGAATCGAACTCAGGTCTTCGGCGTGACGAGCGAACGCTTTAACCACAAGGCTACCCGACCGCCCGCGAAAAAGGAAGAACCTTGCAAAATTCACATATATGACACATAAATATCATAAGTGTGACTGTACATACGTGTGCTTGTTTATGTATATGTTCACACATAAATGTTCATTCAAATTGTCAAGCAAAATATTTAAATCTCGCCAAATATTTGTACAGTATAAATACAAATTTACTATCATGTTAAGAAACCTTTTCTCCTGTACCAACGTGGGTGGTTCTTTTTGAAAGAAAAAATGGTTTAAAAGAAAAATGATTAATGATTGATTGGCTCCTAACGTTCTGAGCAACTATCGCAGCCACAGCCAGGAACCTGTGTCCAGATGGTACCGGTTTTTGTCTAGGTGTGGTCAGGCAAGGACCTCCACTACCTCCAATACCATTGCCATTCTACCAACAAGCTGAAAGGCAGGATTGAAATGCCGATGGCTATTCATATCCAAATGACTGAACAATTTAAAGTGTCAATGGTTAATCTCTATTTCAGGGGCGAGTGCTATCCAATCAACATTATGCCAAACGATCGATATTTTCGAAATCCCTGTATGGAATTCCGAAGGTCAATGCCCGCTGAACAGTATGGTAAGTTGTTATCCTGGATAATGCTTCGCCGCTTTTGTCATCAGTCCTGAATACATGGAGATAGACACACGAGTCTTGAATTAAACTGAAACTGATCATTCTACATTTCTTAGGCAAATATACACCCTTTGATATATTACAAATCAGGTATGCATAGAAACTCAAAGAAATAGGATGGATTGACTATCACTTCTGACATATGCTAATAATTTCCAATATGTTCAAACGTCATGTCTTAAATTTCCTTTGGAATAGTTGTATTTTTATAACGTTTTATATTTTTTTAATTTTTTTATACATAATTGTACATTTCATGGGAATTGCGAGAAACAGTAATATACGATGGCAATATTAATCGAAGTTGCTTGTGTTTGAAGTGGTTTGGCAAGTTTTACTGTATATAAGAATTATATTTCAAATATCGTAAGGGCGCAGGTGTTACCCAGTCGTCTAATGTGCCGAGGTTGGGTGTGCAGAGTTGCGTCCCTTAGGCGCACCAGAAACCTATGATCGTGGGTTGGCGTCCCGGTTCGCCCAGATTATTTCTAGGTTGTATCAGCACCATACCTGTTTTCTTGGGTTTAACGAAAGTTAGCAAACGTAAACCTGCATCATTTGGGGCTTTCCCCATCAAGCTGACACTACGTAATATACCCAAACATAAGCGAAGAAAACAAAACTCATTCTCAGGGGCGGTCGGGTAGCCTAGTGGTTAAAGCGTTCGCTCGAAACGCCGAAGACCCGGGTTCAATTGCCGACATGGGTACAATGTGTGAAGCCCATTTCTGGTGTCCCCGCCGTGGTATTGCCGTAATATTGCTAAAAGCGGCGTAAAACCATACTCACTCACTCGTTCTCAACACATATTATATTTTTCGTTTCATCGGCCCGCCGCCCCTACTGAAAAGCAGCTGGAAAAGAAAGAAATAAAACACAAAAAATATTTATTTTTATCATGTCTCCCGCAAGTAATATAGTCCCTCTTACACAATAAAAATGCGGTAATTCCATGAATTCCATGTCTACATCACTATCAGTGGTTCAAGAAACAAGCTGCAATTTGAACTCCACGTGAGAATGACTTTCATACATATAAATATATAAATGTATGACATAGCTATTTATTTTTATTTCGTCCGACCTTGTGTGGAAAAGTTTGAATAAATCCGTGAAACATAAAAATAAAAAAAGTGTGGGCTTACAGAGCGACGAGAACAGATGAACATCATCACGGCTTACATCGATGCCTCCCAAATATATGGCTCCAGCACGCAAGAAATGACGGAGTCAAGAAGTTTTCATGGAGGTAATTATTAACAGAGCTATGCTGTAATTTCATTATCATGGCATCTAAGAATAATTTGTTCAAACATCGCACCATCTCAATTCGACTAACAGTTGCTACATAATCTTTATTTGTTGTGCGTACAAATCGGGTTTGTATTTCCATGGGTGCTTTGCTGTTTCAGGTTTACTGAAGTCAGGGGAACACGACATGTTGTTGAGAAATACCACTATCAAAAGGCCGTGTTTGAAGAGTGACTCGAACTCGTGTTTCTTCTCTGGTATGTAAATGATTTGTTTGTTTGTTGTTTAACCCCGCACTCGATTCCCCAAATATGTACAATGTCTGAAGGCCCACTTGTGGTGTCCCCCGCCGTGATATTGCCGGAATATTGCAAAAAGCGGCGTAAAACCATACTCACTCCCACACTACAATGTGTGATCTGAGTGATTGTGTGTCATTTCCCGACGGCATGGGTCATTAATACCCGTAAAGGCAACTACTTGTTACCTGGCCCGAATCCAACTAATAGGTATCTGTGATACAGCTGGACTATAGCTGAACTATAGCTAGACTATAGCTGAACTATAGCTAGACTATAGCTGAAGTATGGATGGCTGCGACGCAATCTCATTTAAGTCAGATCTTATAAAACAAGTCTGGAAGTTAATTTAAGGTACCGACGTTTACTACAATATCTGAAAAACTATTGGACCTACTCCAGTCAAAGTTGGTATGAGATTATTAAACAGTCATACACAACTGGATATTACATTTAAAGACAATCGGTGCATGAATATAAAATCTGTCTATTTAGCTATCACTATATTTCATCAAAAACCAGATATGTTCGTCACGGGTGGAACGAGCATTCATTGTAACAACCATCTGCATAAAGCTACCCCTGCGTCACAGGGCCATATGACACAGTTGAACCAATCAACTCAACTCGAAAGGTTCACGCACGCACGAATACGGTGTTAACGTTGGGCGTCTCAAGCATTTATTTAATAATATTTATCCAATTAGTTTTCACCGCCGTTAAACAAAGACCTAATTAAGAACATCCCATTACAAGTTACAACAGAACGACCTACCGCGATCTTTGACCGACCAATGAAATGACTAATAAGAAGTCAACATTAACCAATCAGAAAGCCGCTTTCTCGAAGTATAGGGCACTAATTTCAAACTGACAAGTTCCGTTCTAGACTATGCTTGGAAATATATTTTAACAAAGTTCAAAAATTTAAAAATTGAAGGAAAAACATTCTGGAATGTCAAATAGATGGCAGAGATTGTATGGCAGTACTACCTACGGGCTATGGGGGCGGTCGGGTAGCCTAGTGGTTAAAGCGTTCGCTCGTCACGCCGAAGACCTGAGTTCGATTCCCGACATGGGTACAATGTGTGAAGCCTATTTCTGGTGTCCCCCGCCGTGATATTGCTGGAATATTGATAAAAGCGGCGTAAAACTCACTCACTCACTCACTCACTCACCTACGGGCTATGCAAAGTCTCCTTCGTTCAATGTTTATCCCACTGAAGCTAGAGATAAACGATGATTTTAACGGAATTAGTCGTAAAACCCGTGTTAACCTTTTCGAGGTTGCATTATTAGAAAACAAATTCCGATTGTCACTTTCCTGAACTGGTAAGCGACGATCTGATTAGTTGGATGAAAGGGTCGTTCTGACGTGACCCGTAATGAGTCCAGACTCTTTGTTTGGCGGTAGTGGGAATTAAGATCCGATTATAATCAGATTGACTGCGACGTAAAAGTGCATTAACTCACTCACGTTTTGTTTTCCAGGTGACGTGAGAGTGAATGAATTCCCTTCACTGACGAGTCTACACACGGTGTTCCATCGAGAACACAACCGCATTGCCAGAAACCTTGCAGTAATTAACCCACACTGGGACGACGAAAGTCTCTTCCAAGAAACACGAAAGATTATTGCCGCTGCCATGCAAGTGATTTCGTACGAAGAATACTTGCCCATCGTCCTAGGACGGCGAGGAATGAGGAGATATGATCTGGACACACCATACAGATATAATCCACACGTAAATCCAGAAATCATCAACAGCTTTGCGACTGCAGCGTATCGCTTCGGACACTCCATGATTGACAGAACCCTTAAAACTCTCCGCAATCCAAGACATAAAATAGATCAGATGTATTTTAGGCCTAGTTTCAACCTAAACCAGAACGGCAAGGGACTGGACAGCCTCATCGAGGGCATAATCCAAAGCCCCTGTCAGAAATCCGACCGATTTTTCACCCTGGGAGTGACGGATCACCTATTTCAGGACTTCCCAACCACAGGAATTAGTTTTGACTTGGCGGCCAGAAATATTCAGAGAGGACGCGATCACGGTCTTCCCCCGTATGTGGCCTTCCATAATTTTGCAAGCCAATATTACCCAGAACTCTCTCGAGGCCCATTCGTCCGAAATCAAGATCCAAACAGTCCTATGTTTGCCAACATGGGGGAAGCGTCTCATCCAAATTCGGACTACTTGACTCATATTGGCAGCTCGATCAATCGTCGCCGTCCTTTCTCGCCTCCTGAAAGAGCCCAAACTTACAGACCGGTGTTCACACCCCCGACACGGCAGCCCTTTGGGTTCAGATACGGCAGTGTTAGAGGCAAGAGAGCTGTCGGTGCCGGACCACCGCGTGCAGCCCTGTCGTATCAGTGTTTGAGAACTTACAAGTAAGTTTCCTAATACTCTAAACATATGTTGCTTGTAGTGAGTGAGTGAGTTAGGTTTCAACGCCGCTTTTAACAGTATTCCAGTTATATCGCGGCGTGTCAGCTAAATGTTGGAGGAAAGCCCGAAGTGATGCAGGTCTCAGACGTTTATCACTTCGGTGAAACCCACGAGCACGGGTATGGTGCTGACAAACCTAGAAACATAATCGGGGCGAACCGGGATTCGAACCCACAATCATAGGTTTCTGGTGTGTCCAAGGGACGCAACTCTGCAAAGCGAATCGCGGCGCCTTAGACGACTTGGCCCCCCGGGCCCCCTATGATGCTTGTAACCTGTAATGATTTCTATGACTATGTGCATGTTGCTTGATTGTTTTGTTTATTTGTTGTTTGAAGCCTCACTCAGCAATATCCCAGCTATATAACCGCGGTCTGTAACTAATCGAGTCTGGACCAGACAATCCAGTAATTGACATCATGAGCTTCGATCCACGCAACTGGTTGGTTGGTTGGCTTGTTGTTTACCGTCGCAATCAGCAATATTCCAGCTATATGACGGCGGTCTGTAAATAATCGAATCTGGACCAGACAATCCAGTTTTTAATATCATGAGCATCGATCCACGCACTTGGGATACGATGACATGCATCAAACAAGTCAGCGAGCCTGACCACCCGATCCTGTTAGTCGCCTCTAGCAAGCATAGTTGACTCTTACGGCAAGCATGGGTTGGTGAAGACCTATTCTTCCCCTTGATCTTTCATGTTGCTTGTAACCTATACTGATTAATGTTACTGTCTGTATGTGGTTGAAGGTGTTGGACAATCATCATCATCATCATCAACGTTAAAGCAATAGTGCCAAGGAAAACCGCTGTACATCTAAGAGTTATAAACACATTTGATGCGAAACATATGAATACCTTTGTAGCTCAGGGCCTTAGTTTCCGACTCCGATGCTTCAGCATAGACTAAGTTAGCTATGATGGCTTTGTGAAACAGGGCTCTGACCCTTTCAACAAGACACACCAGCATGCTCTAACATGTTATATTTGATTGCAGGAACCGTTACGAGGACGTGGACCTCTTTGTTGGCGGTATGAGTGAGGACCCGGTAGATGGTGGTATGGTCGGACCGACGTTCGCAGCGATCATGGGTCGCCAGTTTAAGAACCTCCGACACTCTGACAGATTCTGGTATGAGACGCCGGATACCAGGATAGGCTTCACCTCAGGTTAGTCTCACAATGCTCCCACAGTGTACGTTGATGACGCTTGTACTATCTAGGCGTGTGGGGTGGAGATTCCAAAGTCTAGAGATGATGCCCTGGTACATCGTACATACCTCGGCCACATCATACTGCGATTCTCCTGCTTCCAATCGTCCGATGACGTGGTTCCCGTGTACTTCCGTCAGCTGTGGCATGACTTGTACCAAATGCTCGCGTATGTTTTCAGGTGAATAACTGACCGGCCCTTGCATATGTTAAGTGATTTTTACACATGCTTATAATATAGAAGGAATCGTACGATGGACTCTGCTTTTATCAAAGCATTCATATAATCATCGGGGGCGGTCGGGTAGCCTGGTGGTTAAAGCGTGCGCTCGTCTCGCCGAAGACCCAGGTTAGATTCCCGACATAGGTACAATGTGTGAAGCCCATTTCTGGTGTCCCCCGCCGTGATATTGCTGGAATATTGCTAAAAATGGCACAAAACTATACTCACTCTCTCTTATAATTATGGAAATGAGAATGAACAAGGTTATTTGTGTAGTGAGAATGGTGTTCAATATCATAATTCTTTATTTTCAGCGCAAATTAACGAGTTGAAGAAGATAGCCCTCTCAAGGATTCTCTGTGATAACACTCATATCCCGCACATCCAGAGGAATGTTTTCAAGGTCCCAAGCCAAGGGTGAGAAGATGTTGGGGATGGCGATGTCCATATGTTTCTGCGTGAATGCATTCGTCACCACTCGCCCCTTTCCGTAACCGCTATTCGGCTTGTCCCGGAATAACACGAGTTGGACACGAACGGCGTGAATGGTCAAGTAAAGTTTCGTCGCGGTTATTATGTCGGCACCATTTTCAGAAGAGTTAAAGTACCATTAGGAGCGTGTTGGTGATATGTGATTTGGTTTTGAAAATAAAATAACCCAATTAGTGACCCCTACGACCCTCTCAAAACATCCTCCTATTTATTGAATTGCCCGTGCAACTGCACACACTGAAGGTAACATTCTTAAAAAGTAAACTACTCACATTATAAAATCCGTCTCTAAATGTCCCCCCCCCCCCCCTTAGGAATCGAGCTCGGACCATTCTGGTTGCCACACTTTAAATATTATCGCTCTGTAACTAGGACCAACATGCACTTGAAGCTTATTTTGTTTGAAAGATGAATAGATGCCTGTTACATCAGTCAGTTGAAAAATACCCCCGAGTAAAACCGTTGGCGTAAAGAAGGATGCCCCGAGTAAAGCCCCTTGGGGTCTGCGAGTTAGATTTGGTCAACCAGCAACCTATGCTGGTCTTAATAAAAGTAACTTGAGGGATTGGGCGATGGTCAGGCTCGGTGGCGCAGTTGTTGGCGTGTTATCGCACCCGGACGGTGAGGGTCGATGCTGAAATTATCAATCACTGGATTGACTAGTTCAGACTCAATCATGTACTGGCCGCCGTCATAAAGTTGAAACAGCGACAAACAAACAAACCAAGGCGCTCTTTGTGTTCATTTAATGTGATGGCGACCGAGACGAGCTGACTGATATAACTGATTATGAATCGGACATAAAATGTTTGTCTTCAGACCTAAAATATTGTCAATTGCATGTTGGACATTGTGAGGCCAGTTATGGAGGGGTTATAACTCTTCGGAAAATGGTGCCAAAATAATCATGACAGGGGAGATATTCCGATAAGCATATTTTTTCTTATCAGTACTTAATAGTGAGTCATTAACAAACGCTTATGATATAGTTTGAATCGTATAAAGGGCTCTATTTTTAGCCGATATTTCCTGTGTTTAGAAAGGGATTTGTCGCTTCTATAAGTATAATATGACTTAATTTTGACACACTTTTGTATGTTTGGTACATGTTCCGTAGTTGTGAAACATTTGGGCGTGTTGGAGGGGACATTTGTTTTTAATTCTCGGTTACAGTGGCGCGAATCACTGCCAGATTTATGTATTTCCACTGTTAAAAGACAGGGAGTCATGCAACAGATTCGTTTATCATATTGAAAGTGCATGTACCCTGATAATAGATAGTGTTATAGATGCGAGAAACCAGTCCGCTAAATTTGGTATCACAATCCGATAAGAATGCAAATGAGGTCATCTTGCCGGAACTACTTTTGATAAGCTCCATTCGTCAAATGAATGAATACATGCTTTATATTTATACTTTTACCTAACGTTTGCAATAACATCAGACCGTAGTTTCTCTGTGTAGTTGGTTCTTTACACTCACAAAATCAATCAAAACTTACTTCAGTGAGTGAAATTATTATTATTTATGAATGACCTTATATGGTAAAGCGATATTTACCCTCGGGGGTGTCCTCACACGATACGTTTACTTCCTGGTGTATGTTATTGTTAATACCCAGACAAATTCGACTTATAATCTCTGTACGGGTGGCCCAGTCGTCTAAGGCGCCGCGATTCACTGTGCAGAGTTGCGTCCCTTGGGCACGCCAGAAATCTATGATTGTAGGTTCGAATCCCTGTTCGCCCTGATTATGTTTCTAGGTTTGTCAGCACCATACCCGTGCTCGTGAGTTTCACCGAAGTGGTAAACGTCTGCGACCTGCATCACTTCGGGCTTTCCTCCCACATTAAGCTGACACACCGTGATATAACTGGAATACTGTTAAAAGCGGCGTTAAACCCAACTCACTCACTCAGTGTCTGAAAGGATCACGCGAAGAACTAGAATAGTTTTGATTGCACTCAAAAATATCATTCCTGAATAAAATTCAGTAATTGCTGACGATCAGCTACGAACGTTGATTCTCAGGTTTGATGCTGGTAGGGCAGCACATGCTTACCACTTTCACGAACACCTGGTGTTATCACTGATTTTCTGTGATCCATTCATATAGTTTTCATCACAATTTTGCCTTGTACATCCCATGGAATCTATTTCGACGGATAGTCGAAACTGATTATTCTCTTGCGTTGACGTTTTGATTAACCCTAGGGGTAAAATCCAGGGCCCCGTTCCACAAAGCGATCTTAGCGCTAAGACTGTCGTAAGTCTATGTTTAAGTATTGGAGATACGATGGTCTTACCGCTACGATCGCTTTGTGGAGGGGGGGCCCAGGCTTTAATTACATCCGACAGTTTAGTCCGTTCATCTACAAAGGACTAAAATGTCAATTTTAAGTATTTCGGCGTTGGGTGGTAAGTATTATATTCCCAGGACATGTTGATATTTAATACTCGTACTGTTACATTTACTGATAAATCTATCTTGTTGAAATTCCAGAAACCCCGTGCTGGACTGTCGATCGGCTGCCATCCCCGTCATAAATCTGAATTTGTGGAAGGAGAATGTCTTCGTTGTGGGAAAGTGAACATTATATATGCATGTTGTTTGTGTGTTAATCATGTACTTTTGATACAAACGTCTAGTGTTGGAAAATAAAGTATAATGAGAAACATTATCCTGTGAATTGTACGTTACAACAGATAGAAACATTGTACTGCAGCCCGACATTTAGAAAAAAAAGCGTACTGGTATAACATCGATCTCAACATCAGGATAATGCACCAAAAAATGTTGAGAATCTATTGATAACGTCACATTATGAATATTAGCTTAAAAATATTACTAATTCTTTACATATAATCGCGTCGCGCTCTTGTGACAATTATCGACTGACACGTTCAATACTACAAGGCGGCACGGGTGGCCAGGTCGTCTAAGGCGCCGCTATTCGCTGTGCAGATTTGCGTCCCTTGGGCACGCCAGAAACCTATGATTGTGGGTTCAAATCCCTTTTCGCCCCGATTATGTTTCTAGGTTTGTCAGCACCATACCCGTGCTCGTGGGTTTCACCGAAGTGGTAAACGTCTGCGACCTGCATCACTTCCGGCCTTCCTCACATTAAGCTGACACGCCGTGATATAACTTGAATACTGTTAAAAGCGGCGTTAAACCCAACTCACTCACTCACTCAGTACTGCAATGATGTGTTATGCTGACATGTGATGCTAATTTGTGAAACCTAAACTCGATGAATTGTTGTTTAGTGGATTTGCCATTTAACGTTAACTTCAACAACGTGACAAGTTCAAACGCAATAAAATATTGTAAAGTGAAACAGTGCTGCAATTTGAATAGTTGAAACATGTCATGCCAGATTTATCTCTATCCAAAATTTGACAAAGCAACGTGACTTTCTGCCTGTCGAAATAGATACCGCATTGATTAAATGTTAAGTTTGATTTTTTTTATCAGAACTCGAGCTGTTCATGCGGGTTCAGTTATCACGTGAGTTAATGACGTCATCCATTGGTTAAAAAAATCATTCAGGCGTGATGTCACAGTGTTCCAGAAACTCACAACTGTGTGAGTTCACGAGGAGAGAGTGCAATAGAAAATATCTGATACCTTTTATATTTCACCATTTCAAGAAATATAATGTATTTTCGGATTGGCAAGTGTTAACACCGTCAGTTTTAAGGCATTTAATACTCATTCTACCAATGGCATGTATTTGAAAAATACTCGATTCTGATTGGTCAGACAAAGGTATCAGCCTCAGCTGAACAGCCGATTGGACAGCCGCGTCACTGCGGAACTTGCTTTAATGGGTAACTACTTTTTTTCAGTCAGTGTCGGATGACGTTTTAGTGATGCTATTTACCATGATTAGAATACCAAAATGAAGATTTGAAGTTATAACATTCAAAGTATGTGTAGCAATATATTTTTGGCCGAAATCAATCAACATAAAAAAGAAAGCGTATTTCAAGTTTTCGAACAGAGAGCTTGATATTTTCTATAGCCGACTGTGCCATCCTATCCTTTGCGTCATACCGAAGACCGTGACATCATAATAGTGACGTCACGCAGAACTAACCCTTGCAAAGCTTGGTACATTTTCTAGAGGTGTGACGCTTCATTCTGGCTAACGAGGAAGCTGTGGTTCGCAATATCAGTGCCGGTCATATTTACGAGTCAATTATAACGATGTCAGCAAACAACTCATGCCTTGTTTAAAGGCTAGTATCGGTGTGGTAAATCGATAAATAGAGGCAGTATAAGACTAGTAACTGCCCGGAATGAGATGGACAGATACACACGGACATGTCTTAGTCACATTGTACCCATGTCACAGTTAAATGATCAACAGCGTACGTCAATATCTGGTGTAGCCACCCGTACACGGATCACCCTAAGGAATGAGTTGTAATTGTGGACGTTCATCAGCTGATACTTGTACAAATATTTGCCCCTCCTGTCAAAGTACCTACGGCCTTGTAGTGAGAATGCCTCACGTGAGCAGATTTGCCATGAAGCGCGAAATGTTTTCTCGAACATTCCATTATACTGTGTGGTAAACCTGTCTGTCCCATCTCATGTACCTGTCTGCAAAGTGAGGTGTCTGCAAAGTGAGGTGTCAGCATAGTGAGGCGTCTCAAAAGTGGGGTGTCTGCAAAGTTGGGTGTCTGCAAAGTGGGGTGTGTGCAATGTTGGGTGTGTGCAAAGTGAGATGTCTGCAAAGTGAGGTGTCTGCAAAGTGAGGTGTCTGCAAAGTGAGGTGTCTGCAAAGTGGGGTGTCTGCAAATCGAGGTGTCAGCAAAGTGGGGTGTCTGCAAAGTGGGGTGTCTTCAAAGTGGGGTGTCTGCAAAGAGAGGTGTCTGCAAAGTGGGGTGTCTGCAAAGCTGGTTCGATCTGGCGAGACCTTGTTAATTTCAAGTTAAATGGGATTGAAGCGTAAATACAGACGTTAAAAAGAACATCAAAGACAACGGAGAATGCCCCAGGTTGGCGGCAATATATATAAAGTGATCGCTTGGGGAGGATTTGTTAGTTATTAAGTCGCACATACAAGCCCTATTGCTTCGTGATTACTATCTTCCTTGAAGGGTTGGAGCTGTTATACATCTGGGGGCGACGTCCTAACAGTGTCTCAGGGTGCATAACCATTATTAGCGAGATCAGTATACGGTGATCCTAAAAATATGTACACCACTTAGCGGACGTTAAGTGTTTTTATGAGTAAATAAAAGAAAGCAATATTCCAGCCATATCACGCATTTTTGTAATAATCCAGTCGTCACCTGACATGCCAATGACTGAAACACGAGTTATTTACGGATATGAAATGCGGGCCCTCAATCAGAGAGACTGACCTCCACATCCAAAATAGTTAGCAAATTATATATAATATATAACATAATATTGTGACCACTTCTGACCGCCTCCGTGGTAGAGCGTTCGCCCGGAGAGCGGAAGGTTCGGGGTTCGATTCCTGGCCGCGTCATACCAAAAGACGTTAAAAGATGGTACTTGTTGTTACCCTGTCTGGCACTCGGCATGAAGGCTAAAACAAGGACTGGTCGGCTTGGAGTCAGTATACTGTATCTGAGTGGGGTATTCATGCTAAACTGCGGCATGGTATCTCAGTGTGCTAGCACTATAAATCGGCATCAGTCAGGACTAGTACCAGCAGCAACACACACACGTGCATGCACTTCGCCATATAAGTGCAATAATCTTGAACGCGACGTTAAACCCAATTTCACCTCACTTTGTAACCACTTCTGACTTATCAATCGATATCAACCTAAATATTTGTTATTTGGGGATTTTGTTTGATTATGGTGGATTGGTATATTAACCTTGGTGATTGTTTACTTTTTTACAACAAAGCTTTTTGAAAATAGATGGACTTTGGTCTTAAATTATAAGTTTAGACTTATCTTAGATTAACTTGTAAAGTCCGATTATTTATTGTCATATTGTTTCAAAAGCATCATTTTGTTCGTTTCAAAAAATTGTTTTGTGTTGTTTAGAATCGAACTCTCTCATTTGCAAATTGAAATGTAAAGGCACCATTACAATAGATCGGTCTCGATTATCCGTCGAAGTAGATTCATTATGCGTAAAAGGGAAAATAGTGACGATAATTACACGACTGGATCATTGAAAATAAGTGATGAGACCAGGTGTTCACGAACAGGATAAGTATGACCCGTAACACACCCTGACCATTCGTCAACACTCGCCCCTTTCCGTAACCTGCAGGAGACTCGTCCCCCTATCGATGAAAGTTATGTGCGAAAATACGACAAACCAATCAGAATGCGCGCATGATTTTAAGTTCCTTGTCAAAGAATCCCTCGGAAATATGTTTGGATTTTTATATATGTCTTGCATTTAAAAATATACCCACGACACAGTTAAATGTGTTCAATCATACTGTATAATTCCGCATGTCCAGATGTGCTTTTAAATTGCAGTCGTGGCCCAGTCGTCTAAGGCACCCCAATTCGCTGGTCGGAGTTGTGTCCCTTGGTCACGCCAGAAACCTATGATTGTGGGTTCGAATCCCTGTTCGCCCTGATTATGTTTCTAGGTTTGTCAGCACCATACCCGTGCTCGATGGTTTCACCGAAGTGGTAAGCGTCTCAGATATGCATCACTTCGGGCTTTCCTCCCATATTAAGCTGACATACAACTTGAATGGGTGACTCAAATTTGGCTCAGAGTGAAGCGTGCAGCTGTCGTCTACTCAGCCGCTTGAATCACAGGTATGTTATTGTCATTTGATACCTCATTCAGTGAGGGATTCATTTGTAAATTATTCCTTCAGCAATAACATATCTGTTTACAACCTTCCTTGCTAATTCTTATTCAGACGTTTCATCAAACGTCATTGTAACTGAGAAACAATCATACCCTGTTCCATGTGTTCCAAGTAATTCCATTGAACCGAGGAGACGATAGCATGTATATCCAAGTCCAAAGTCAGACACTGTGCTTTGGCAATTGTCTACGACTTGGTACCCCAACACAGGTATGTCTCTCGTCTAGTTCGACAGTGAAGATCACTAGATGAATCACTGTTATGTCTTGGCAAAACGTGGATGCTGGTAAAAGCCACACCTCCGTCCTCATGCAGGGCTGAGCATTATGAGACATCCCAATGTCTGTCAGTTAAAATATTAATACGTAAAGCATTTCCTGGTTCAGCCAAGAACATCTGTGACGTTTTATCACGTGATCTCAATTTCCATCACGTTTCCGCCTTTCAAAACTACATTATGACATGGTTTACATTTCGAACAGGCTGCTAAAGGCCAAACGCTGTTTCTAAGACAATGTACAGACATGACTTGCCATCTAAATAATTAAGAGGTATCCTGACAAAAAGGCAAACGTGTTGGTATTTATACAGTTTTGTTTTGTATATTTTGTTACGTCGCAATCAGCTACATTTCAGATAGATTACGATGGCTTGTATAAATAATACAATCTGGGCAATGAAAACTAGTGATTGATATTATAAACCACCTTGCGCTGTAGGGTTACGATGACACGCAAGCAGCCTCGCTCTCGCTCGGGAAATACAAAATTTCTGACACTCGTTTTGTAAAACCAGTATGACACACATGATCGTACATTAATCTCTTTATTTATCATACCAAA